TTGTTGATGTTGTTTAGCTCTACAAAATTTGAAATGTTGGTACAAAGCTCTTTGTTCAATAAACCGAGACGGACACAAGGGACATACCATATCAAGCCCAATTGAAGGTTTCAAACTCTCCAAATGCAATTCTTTCCCCCATTCTTGTTTGATACATGATTGACCACACACTTCGCAAGGGTAGTAAGCGTAGTCAGCATCATTTGTGTTGGAAGTCTCGTTTGCGTAGAGTGCATCAGGGGTTGTGGGCAACTCGTTTGGTTGGATTGTAGTATGTCGGTTAATAGAGTGTTGCCAAATTGCTTCTTCATCTCTAAAACCTTTGCCGCATTTCTCACAAATGAATGTTTTAGGTCTGTTTTGCTAGCAAATGTTAGATATCAATGAAGGAGTGTATGGAGTCATATACAAAATGGAAAACTCCAGATAGGAGGATGTATATGAACAGAAAAGAGGAATAGTCACTTACCCAATCTGATCCATATTCAAGTACTTCATGTATAGCATGAACATGTTGATGATATGCACGGGCACTAGATAACTGCTTCGCACAATGAATACATTTCAAATCTGCCGGAGCTGGTGGTTTCTGTTTTCTATTCTTTTTATGAAGATTCACTTTTTGAGGTGTCAAATCACCCACAGCATCAATCAGTGGTTTCATATCAAAAGTCGAATCAAAGGACTCACCAAACAAAGTTTCAAGCAATGGATGGATATCTTCAGTAGGTATGGGATTCAGGCAGTTTAGTGAAAATGTATGAACGCAAGATTTCATGGTTGTTCGTACATGTCGTTTTGTATGTGCATTTTTGAAAGAACCACCATGCTTATTTCGTTTTACCACATAACCCGGCCATAACAATTCATTGAATAATTCAATTGATTTTGTTTGAAGACCTGTTCTACCAGCCTGATTGTGAACATTCCATCGTAATTCTTGACCTTGAACCTAATTATTAATCATACGATGGTATACTAAAGATATACGAACAAATGGTTCATCCATGAATTCATTAACATTATCTGTCTTCAAAACCTTGACAGCTGAATCAAAGAAATGTGCCATTAGAAATTGATGAAGTCTGAAATCTTCAGTTCCCAAATGAGGATGATTCCAAACTAACTATTTAATATAATTGAAAACCAAACTGATTGCGTTAAATCTAATATTTTCAAAATGTAAAGGTAATTCCCAAGCATTTACTTCATGCAACACTGATACGTTCTTAAATTTTTCTAGATGAGATAAAATGATAGCAGCATCATCATATTTTGATATTAATTGTTTATGAGAATCAAATGAAGTAGCGATGATATGAATATCATTTGATTTAATTGAATTTGCAATTCCTAAATAATTCCAAGCTATTTCATTATTATTTTGGATATGTCTTGCAAGTGCTAGTGAAAATGAAAAGTTTCCATCACCGAGAAGTAATATTCTAAAAGAATTCATTTTTGTGTCAAACCAGAAAAAAAAAAATATAAAAACGAGAATGATTTATGAGGATATTATGATTTGATTGCGAGGTAACTGTAGGTAAAAGGAAGTGGAATGTATTGTACTTGACAAGTACCTTCACTTAGTATGATAAGTAAAGAAGTAACATGAGTTTATAAATTAGGATATTGTATAAAAGTAAATTATTACAGACAAATGATAAAATATATTGAAGGAAATTTTGGACAATCTAAGATAGTGAGAGAAGCTGTTCTATTTTCTTGAGTTCTTGTAGCAATTCACACTCCCTTTGACTTGCCAAACTTCTTTCCATCTCCAACGCAGATACTTGTTTTTCAATGATACCTTTATCAATCATCTGTCGGGTAATTTTCGCTTGATAGTTATTCAAAAGTTGGTCAATATCTTCATCCGACAAAAAATCAAAGTCATCGGAATCATTGCTGTAATTATCAGAGGATTCAGTGTCCATATCCTGACTAGGGGACAAAGTCCACTCTGAGTGAGTTTTAGTAACGGTAGTAGTTATTCTGTTCATGTTCTTGGTAGTAATATTTATCAATCTGGTACTATTCATGTATATAATTTATGATTGGACTAAGAAAACTAGTAGCTTTATAAAGGAAATAATATCAAACAATTATTGACTCAAACAGTTCCGAAGTGACAGTAAAATTAACAATGATGACTCATTTTGCGCCAATGACAAACTGTGACAAATCATTCAATTACTCTATTAGAACCAATCTATTAACTAATTCAAACTGTTATGGTTATCGGATGTAGTAACTAGTAGAGTTTTCATAGTCATCCTATAGTTTTCTACGTGTCTTTATGGAATAGTTTATGGTCAGTGTTTTATTTATCCGCCCTTTCGATTCCGATCGGATTCTTGCTTGTCATACCTGTATTCCAAAATCTACAAAAACAGTCATGATTGATATCCATGTACAATAGAATTGCTCATCTTCTTTTCATCATTCGAATGTATTACTTTTTATCATTAAGTCAAACAAAAATGACTCATCATTTTCATGATTTGTTCAAATTACTCTGCTAGATCTTACAACTCTATCTGTGTGTTTACTGTTTATGACAGCACATTATTAGCGTACAAATAAAATATAGGCCTTCGATATAGAATGTTAAGTCTTGCTTAAAGATCTACTTAATGTTTTTGGTTGTTGCCATTTTTGGGACTAGTGTTACACATTCTTGCTATATATATTATTTCGATCGATTGCGAATATAGCATCAGTAGTTTCTTTTCAAAAAACTACATGCTTCTAGTAAGGATAAATTGGACAGAAATTAATTGAGGTAAAACACTTATATGTCAATAAAACAGCTCCTATGAATTACAAACTGTACTTGCAGATGGGCAATAACCGAGAAATATTCATTATTTAAGCGCGTCGGTTATCAAGCCGGTTTAAGGTTTAAGGTTTTAGATGATAGAGAATCAACATCTATATAAAACAAATACAAGTTGAAAAATAGTCTGTCATGTTCAGGGTTAGATTCTCCCTGCTTGAAATTGATCTTTTACCTGTGTCAAAATATAGAATTCCTTACAGTTACAAACGGCATCCATTGTAAGTTTGAATCCTGTTAGTAATATATGGGCTTGGATTAAGTATAAGCTTTATATCAATGATCCATCAGGTTGTTCTTAGGGCGACTCAATTGATTTGACAATACCAAAAAGAATCGCGAAAAACATGAGTAATGGTTATCAGAGAGAAATGGTTATTTCATTCCTCCAAAAGTATCTAGAGTACAGAAGTAATGGACAGACAAACTAAGCAAACTTAGCAAATGATATTATTCTTAAACGACATCTATGTAATTATCGATGAAAAATAGAATAATCGTCCCATCATCAATAAAGGAATCCTGGTCAAGTGTGTAGTTGAGTGTATCAATCACTTCTTTCAAACCTTGAGACAAGCCAAAGGTAGAACTGAAAAAATTCAACCTTTCAAAGAATGAAGAGATCGACTTCAAAGAAAATACAATCTACTGAGAAAAAGCAAAGAACTCTGGATTCATTCAAAGGAATTACTAATTCAGTAGTGGAGTGGAAGGTCGAAGGAACAGTTTTGACTGGAACCTATTCTGACTTTACTCCAAAATCAAAAGTTGCTGCCTTTGATTTTGATGGTATAAATAATGGTTAAATTAATTCAAGGTACTATTGCATCGGTAAAAGGGAAATATTCGTTTCCAAAAGATTCAAATGATTGGGTAAGTGATCAAACATTGATATCTAGGTATGGTTCGATCCTTCCATTCCTTCCATCTTATTGCATTTAGATAGATTACAATATTGTTTAGTTATATTTTCCAATCAAAGAGGAATTGAAGAATCAAAGAATCTAAAAAAGAAGGTGATATTTCAATCCAGAATTGAAAAGACAATCAAGGAAATTATAAAATACTGTGAAACTTTGGATTTAAAACCACCTCCAATGAAAATATATGCTGCAACAGAAAAGGATATTTATCGAAAACCATGTCAAGGCATGTGGTTAAAATACCAAAACACATTTAAATCTATTATAATCAATCAAAAGGAAAGTTTCTTTTGTGGAGATGCAGCCGGTAGAAGCACTATTGGTAGAAATTCACATGCAAAAGATCATGCTGATACTGATTGGAAATTTGCACTCAATTGTGATTTACCATTCATACTCCCCCAAGAAATCTTTCATTCTGATAATGTAAAGAAATATCTCAAAGAACCAAAGTTACATCTGATTAAAGAACCATCACTAGTCCTGACTGGTTTTGATCCCAAAACTTATACAAACAGTTTCGAAATTCCACAATTTGATCATTATGATATTCTAATCTGTGTTGGATCACCAGCATCGGGTAAGTCTAGTTTCTGTAAACGATACCTACCCAACCACCAAAGAATCAATCAAGATGAATTGAAAAATGTCAATGCATGTATCAAAACAGCTAAACAAGCTCTCTCCAGCGGACAAAAGGTGGTTATCGATAACACAAACCCCACCAAAGATGCTAGAAAAAAATTCATTGATATTGCCAATGATAAAACCATTGCATGCATTTACTTCAATACAGATCTTGACATCGCTCAACACAACAAACAATATCGAGAGCTACATCCACTTATACGAGAGTTGGCCGGTCTTGGGAATGGTAGTGAGCCATACCCTCATGTACCCATGATTGCCCTCTATACCTTTTTCAAGAAATTTGAACGGCCTGCTATTGACGAAGGATTCCACCATGTTTATGAAATACCATTTGTACCGTGTTTTGAAGAGGGCGGGGAAGAGTTTTGGAGACTGTATTACTAATAAAACGTTATGTCCCATTTTAGAAAGGTTTTTATTTGAACATTACCATCAGTTCTTGTGTCAGAGCGTGCAAATAACTATATATATAACAACTACCAACCATCAGTAATAGAAGTATTTGATATTTGCATAAAATTATCGAAAATGCTGCCAAATTGAATGCACACTTTATATACTAAATGTGAAACGAAAATTTCAAGTGAGGACGTTTGGCCGAGCGGTCTAAGGCGTTCGACTCAAGTTCGAATCTCGTAAGAGGCGTGGGTTCGAATCCCACAGCGTTCACATTTTTGTTTTTGTAATTCTCAAGGTGATTTAACTTGTTCTTGGGTGTGATTTAACTTTCAATTGTTTTTGTATAGGTATCCGTTCGTCTGGTGCGCCTATTATTACCATTTCTTACAATCTTGTCTGAGCACGAGATAATATATCTATATTGGACATTAGACAGTGACTTCTATGGTATTTTTTGTCCCTTTTGATCAGAAAGTTAAATCTTTGAGCGAACTTTTTTGGGAGTTGAACGTGACTTTGAAATCAACCATTTCGAATAGACCTATATTCGATATGGATAGACTGAAACACATCTTCTACTCTCGTTCCATAGACAAAAGGAAACAAATTAAGGTTATGAAATGTGTGTTAATGTGGTTTTTTTTTTAAAAGTGTGTAACATAGATATTAAATAGAGAGGCAAGATGCTTGACCTCACTAAGTATCTATTTAGTGTAGGTGCGAAGACAAGCGCGTCTGTATTGTTTATATAATTTGATCGAGTTCCTCTCTCAAATCACCATATTGTTATGACTCTTACTCAAACGCCACATATTCGCAGTCGGTTAAATACTGATCTTTCACTAATGAAGGGAATATTAGTAATGTCGTACTGCAAGCAATCATCTTATCCTGCAATTCTTAATGTTGAATCAAATGTCGCCGGCGATCAAGAGGAGAATGGGGTGATTGGAGATGTAAATATTGTCAGATCAAACATTTTTAATATCCCCATCGACTGTATGGGTATCATTGTACAGTATTTAGATCCCTTAACTATTCGAAATGTTGCAATGTCGTGTAAACAGGTCTCAAGAGTCGCTTTGGTATACCTTCATCATGCTCGCCAGCAATTCAAACATTTTACCGAATTTGATCGCTTTATACACAGATGTGATCAATACTGGCAGGATAAAGTCGAGAATGGTATCACATATTGCCATCTGGCTGGTGTGTGGTGGCTTGAAATTGAAGTGTTGTTCACAAACTTACGTGTGGGTATTTACAAACCAACTTTAACAATCCGCCGCAACAGACGCATCAACTTTTGCGCTATGATTTATGGCGAAATCAGCAACGGAGATACATTTGAAATCGTAAATAACGTTGCAATTGATTGGCGAGAAAAAAGAAACGTTTGGCATGATTTTTGTACAGAACCTATTGAAGTGAAAAGCAAGAGCCAAGTTGTTCGCATACGTATACGTGATAATGGAGGGGGATACATTTATGGAGTTGATATAAGAAGTGCGAGGTTGGTACGTGTTGAATAGTTTTATCTGGCTGGTTCAGATTTCTTTTTAAAATAAAACGTTCAATTCAACTTTTTGTCGGAAATTGAGTTCAAATTGATCAGGGTTAAAACCACTTACATGGTTCTTATCTGGGATAACACTGACTGAATAGCAAAGTTTGAATATCTGTGTGTAGCTAAATATAGTATTTTGCGATCTAATCTAATTTGATTAGCCTCGCCTAATATAAATTTAGATTTAGGTTCAAAGTATCTATCTAAACTAAAGCGTGAATCTAATTATTTTAGACTTACAGTTCCTTGATTAAATTGATTCAGAAAGTATGCATCCATTTAGCACTAAGTACAAAATCAGTTCATTTAATGATATCAGCAGAGGGTGTTAAAACCTATTAATATCTGATTTATACACGAATCTTTTTAGTTCAAGAAAAAGCAAATAGACAAATGGTTAGACAAACTCAAAGAGGTGCAACTGAAAATAGAAACTATCAAAGCAAGAAAGCTCGAACATCAGAAGAAAGAAAATAGAGTAGAAGGGCTTACTACGGATGAACTGGTGGAGTTGGAGCAATTTGATTGGAAAGAAACTCTTCAGGAACTCAAAAAGGACAAGAAATACTGGCAAGACCCTATCAAAACAGCAACCAAAGAAGAGCCAAAGGAAGAGAGAAAGTCTTTTCGATTAGCGATAGCCAGTGAGTTTCAAGTATTACATCTATCGATACCACTTACAGAGAATGGACAACATTCCATTTGGATGATTCTATTAAATCCTTCAAGAACATTTTTATTCTCGTTTGAAGCAGTCTGTCTCATTGGTGCACATGAAGTGCTTCGTCGATCTGTTCTCAACGATTTTCTTTTGGATATTCTATATCGTCCTGAATTGAAAGAATCACTCCGAATCTTCCCAGATATTCGAATTCTGTAGAGTAAGGATTTGAATCTAGTTCGATTAGGAATTTTTTTACACACCCAATGAATTCTGAAGGAATGTCAAGCATATCAGCAACAAAGGATCAAGATCAACGGATCAACGGAATGATATCATTATGCAGTCCCAACAACTTGTAAATCAAAGAAAATATACCAAAGCATTGATTCTGATACCAAATGAATTTCATTCTCTAAACAACAAATTGGACGATTTATACTCTCTCAACACTGTGAAAATAGATTTTCAATTCATACCAAGAAAGATTTCTGAGTTCAGCAACGTTGAAAAAACCAAAGCTGAAAGATTCAAGTTTGGAACATAAATCTTTTCGGTCTATTTATGTATGGTTCGGCAGATTGTATCGAAAGCTGGATTATCTTCTATCATGCAGTCGAT